TTTCAGGTACAAAAGAGGAGCCACCAGACTTAGAAGTTCTCTTGTCCAATCTCTTTGAGAGGACGGGAATTGGAGTTGTTTTAATGCCAAGGATCGATTCTCCATCCAACCTAACAAGAAGAACAATCGACAATGCTTATGAACTTGAGCTGCAAGGTAAGTGTAATGTGAGTCCTAGCTTTAATGTTTCTGACTTGGTGCCGTATATTGCAGATCAAACGGATTTGAGGTCAAATCCTTTTCAAGAGGGAGGGGATGATATGATCATGGACAACACTAAGGATGTGGAGCATGAACCGGAGCTTGAACGTGAGCTTGTAGCCGAGGAAGGAGCTAAAGGAGCTAAGCTTATAGCTGAGGAGGAGCTTGTAGCCAAGGAAGCTTTGATCGCACCAACTGGTCCAATGACTCGTTCTAGAGTTAAGCTATTCAACCAAGCCATTGGAGGGATGCTTAACCACATTTGGGACCGACCAAATGACTTGAGCCAAGTCACTACCTCTTTGGTTTTGATCCATGCTCAAGGACCTCATCAAAGTGGATAAGTGATTCATGAGTGCTCTTTTTCCCTACCTTTGGTTTTGTCCCACTGGGTTTTCCAAATAGAGGTTTTTTAATGAGGCTTATGTTTTCACTTCATATAATCCATTTTGATGATTCAAGACCCAAACCCACTAAATAATGAGACAATTTCGTGGCCTTTGAAGTTGAAGGGTTATTTTCCAAATTCAAACTCTATTTTAATTTCTCTCGTGTTTTCTAGGCAGCCTTGGAGCATGTTCCAAGACTTGTCTCGTTTTCTACATTTTCTTCTCTTCTCCTTCTCTATATATTCTCTTGTAATCTCTTATGAGAATTTATCTTTCTTTTTATCAAAAACCTTTTCTAAGAAGATCATCTTGTTGGTGTGTATATCCAGCAAAACCCTTAGTATCTTTTGGTGCGCATATCCAAAGGATCTAAGTTTCGGTATCGTGAAGCTCTTCCGCAAGCTTCTGTGATATCCATCGATCCATTCTCTCGTCTTTGAGTCGTGTGTCGTCTCTAACTCGAGATCATCTATCCATCATCACGGCTTCACAGCCACCTTTATCTCTTGCTCAACTTTAGAGTGCCGAGTCCTCGGGAGGATCGTGTCAAGAAGTGTTATGGTAGCTTAATTTAGCAGCTTCATATTTGATCTTGTCGTTCGTCCACTAAGAACATGCAATTCTTCATTCTCTTTAGCTCCAAGCTCTCCATCTTCATGCTGCTTAGCCTTGTACTCGATCGAGTAGTTCGTTATCCGGTCAAGTTTGTCCTTTTGCTCTTGCTCGACCATGTGCTTGATTGGTTGGCCGAGCATGTCCTTGTTCCCCTGCTTGATCATGTACTCGATCAGTTGGTCGAGTATGGCCTTAGGTACAAGCTTCTTCTTAGATCCATGATCCAAGCTTCCCATTATCATATCATAAATGATATAATACCTTGAAAAACTTCTTATCTAGCGAATATGATAACGAAAATTATGATTGTATCACGCCAGCTCTTATCATATTATTTTGGCACTCGACATTGCACACGTAAACCACTTGAACATAAGTACAAAATTAATATATTGGAATCTAATTATACTAAATCAACAGTCACTTTTCAAAAACTGTAAGTCTCTCCTTCTGTCACGTGTGCTTAAGTCTCAAATTTTGCTCTTTCACTTTCGTAAACCAATTCTACTGTTATTATTCAACAGATAATTTTTTGACAAAAAATAAAAAACTTAGCACTTTTTCAGCAACAGCTCCTCTCTCCTTTTTCAACCCTTAGTTTACGACCATTCACAATTTCTACACAATTTTTTTTCTTTTATATTCCATTTAAATATTTTTTATCGACACCTTTTCCACAAAAAAAACCACGATCTTGAGTTCTTTGTTTTGCACGATCCTCAAATAAACTTCTCACTTTCATACCCTTTATCAACCGATCTTCTCCAAATCACCATATATTCCCAATTCTTTATCACAATTGTTCCTTCACTCAGTTTCGCCAAACCAACTTTGAATCTGCATAAAATTGGAGTTACTTTTACAAACATGAGAGTTTTCAATTAGATATCGGAACTGTCCTTCTTGCTCAACCGTCAAACCTGATCAGTCAAAATATCATGTTTCATCCTCAGTTTCTCATCGTTTGTTAACCTTCTACCGCTTTCATCGTCTTCTTTCTCCACTCATAAGGTGATTTTTGTTCATCCACACCTTCTTCAAATCACCATCGAATCTGATATTACTTTTGATTTGTAATTTTGATGGTTGTTGATTGCTCGAGTAATTACCCGATACACTTAACTGCAAGGTAGTATATACGGGGTCGATCCACAAGAACCAATGGTACACTAAAGATTTCCGAGACTCGTTATTAGCTAAAGCGAGAAGTTGTTTTGTTTGGGTTTTCAAAATTGTAAATAAAAATGCAATTAAAATAGGAGATTAAACTTATGAATTAAAGACATTGGACAATAGGGTATTTCAAAAGACAACGACTAGCGGGATAAACGAAACGAAGAATTCATAAATGAAGAACCATTCTCAACTATGAACACAATTCTAAACTAACTCTCTTTCAAGACATTAGCCACTAAGTTCGACTACTCAATTACTAAACTTTCGTTTGTAGTTTCCTAATCAAATTAAGTTGTACTCAATTAAGTTGGTTCATTTCGTTCACAATGCGTTCTAACGTCAACTTTCGTTGGTTAGAAACACATTGCTCAATTTACATTCATTCAGGCATTCTATCGAACACTTTTGATGCATAGAAAAACCTAGAATCTAAAACAGGGTGATCAATCATATTCTAGCATTAAGAACATGTAAATCGAAGAATCTAATTATAGAGAATTCCCTATGACAATCTATTCACTAATCCCTTGACTTTCTACTAAGAACCGTAAAACCCAATTAAGAGACTACTCACACATATTGAAAAGAACAACACAAAAAGATGTAGAAGAAAACTGATTGAATTGATAAATAAAGAAAAAGGGTTTAGAAATCTTCTCCAAAGTGTCAAAGATGATGAATTTCTAGAATCCCCAAAAAGCTTAAAAAGAGAAGTTTCAAAAGTTACAGAGAAAAGAACATGAAAAGAAAAATTAGGTCTCTGTAGTTTTTATACCCAAGTAGGAAAAAGAAAGACAAAACCTGGTTAAGGAAAACCGTTTCGGGATGTCGAGGCTCGGATCGATCGATCCCATGGGTGGATCGATCGATCTACAAGCTCCTGGAATGATGGTATTGGTCATCAAGGCTGGATCGATGGATCCCCTCCTGGGATCGATCGATCTCGAAGCTTCTGGTGTCAAACTCTGCACCTGCTTCAAACGTTCGCCAGAATGACATGTCTTCACTAATGTGGGTATAAATCTTGAATGCACCGTTAGATTGCTTTCAAACCACTTGGAAACTAAAGCTAACATCTTCATCTAGCTTGTGGCAAAAATTCAGAAAGATCAAACGGTAGGAAGTATTCCATCTGAGACCAAACGTCTGGCAACCTAAAACCTTTAGAGACTCGATAAAAGACTAAAATACTCTAAAAACACACTTTGACTCTATAAAACATATGATGTTGGAAAGAAAACAAATACTCAAAACCGTTGTCAATTTGATTGTAGGTACAAATGTGGTTGTTTGCAACGTAAAGCTTGATTTCACGTGCTGCTTAACTGTTAATGCTACAAATCTGTATACTAAGAAGGTGGCATAAAAGAACTCAATATTTATTACGTTTTTTTTTTTTTTTTTGTTTTAAACATTTATTACCTGTTGATGATTAGTTGGAAACATAATACTAAATTGTTTATGATTATCACCTTTAGATGATTAGGGAGTGTGTGTGAATATACTACATACCTTTTTATGTAAAGTTAGTAGTAACACCACATCTACGAATTGTTTATTAATTGTTTAAGAATTCTTGACTATGAGAATTGTTTATTAATAAATTTTGTTGCTAAATTAACTTTTCTATTTGGAATCATCCGTATTTATTCAATATAAAAAACCTATGGGAGAGCAAGATAAATGAAAACCCAAAGAAGAGCCGTAAAGTAACAAGTCTTAATTTCAAAAAAAGAAATGAAATGTAACAAGTCTCAAATGAACGAAAATATTATGTATGTGGTGTTAGTATATACTGTTTTTTTTTCTTTCGTTTTTAACTTAAAGCTATAAAATATCAACATAGATGCTCTTAAACAAAGACGAAAAAAGAAAAATGTTCTTACGTTTGTATTACTTTTAGATGATAACTTATCTTTTTACTATTTAATCATAATTAATATTAATGTGAAACCATAGTAAGTAACATCTTCATCTTCAAACGGAGAGCTCCGGTATAGGATGGTTCTGTACATCTTCAAACGGAGAGCCGCCAACCATGGGAGCTGCAAATCTCCGTCGAAGTTTATCTCCATTACATACCGAGTTCGAGGCCCTTCTCTGGACGATGAAGTGTATGATTGGTGCAGATAATCAAGAGGTAGAGTTCCTTACAGACTGTTCTGATCTGGTGAAGATGGTCTCTTCTCCAACCGAATGGCCGGCATTTTCAGTGTACTTGGAGGAATTTCAGAGCGACAAGGAAGAATTCTCATCCTTCTCTTTATCTTTAATTTCTCGTAATGCTAATGTAAAAGCGGATCATCTGGCACGAAAAATTCGTACAGAACCGCTTCATATCACATTTGTAAACAACATTCCCCATAAATGGCTCTTTTGAGCTCTAATTAATTTCGGATGACAAAAAAAAAATAAACAAAACAACAAATAAATACCAATTTTTATTACAATTTTAATTTTAAAATAAATTATGGCTCTGCATGCAGGGGCCAAAATACTAGTTATGTAATAAATGAAACATTACGATTATTTACATAGTCACTCTCCGTCTTGTATCTAAATATTATTTATATATTTAGAGCCACATTTTTATTAAGGACGCCAATACTTAGGAAAAAAAAAATGAATAGATCTCTCCATAGAAAAAAAGCTCTCTCGCTCTCTCTCATATCTAAATCCTTCATCGTCCCCGATCTTTAATGGTATCACCACCACAAGCGCATCTCTATCTCTCCTCTCTCAGATCTGAATCCTTAGTTTCCGATCTCTAATGGCGGCACCACCACCAGATGACACTTTTGTCGACAAAGATCAACTGCGCAAAACCTAATTTGAGCAATTATATCCTCTAACGTGTTCTTTTCGGCTTGATTTCAGTTTAATTCCTCTTCTTCTCTGTTATCACCAGCCAATGTCGTTGCTAATGCTTTACTATTTTGTTTCAGCGTTCCGAAGTCAAAGCAACGGCAAATCGAGAAATCATTTGAGGAGTCCCCTTTTGCGAAACAATAACCTCATATCTCCCCCTTATAAACAGAAATTATTATTGATTTAATTTTAATTCGAAAAGTGTTGGTTTTACCAGTATACCCCAACCGAAATCTAAATATTACAACCAAAACCTGGATCTATTCGAACCAGACCCGAACCAGACTCGACCCACCCATAACCCGAAATCTCTTCTCTCGATTCTCTGCGTTTTAGTTTTTTTTTTTTAAATCGAAAACTCAAACTCATATCTCCCCAATTCCCCCAATTCAAACCCTAACCGTTATCTCTTGCAACTTCTTCTCCTCTTCAAATCTCCGAGATCTTCCCAGAAACGGTAATTGAGAGATTGCGATCTCGATTGCGAAATCACACTACAAGAAATTTGGTCATTGGTAGCATATCATTGTAGCACTAATTCACTAACTGCTACTAAAAGTGACAATATCGGATGGCAACTATATTGTAGCATTAAGTTAGTGCTGGGAAAGAATTTCATTAAGCGGGAACCCAAAAATTACTACTGTAGCAGAGAAAATCATTTTAGAGGCAAAACACTTGGCCAAAACTTTGTTTTTCCGCGACTCTCACAAAAGCAAACACTTAGGTCATTTTTTTTTGAAAATCTAAACCTTCGCTGACACCACGAATTCGGTTTCCGGTCACCAGTAAACCCAATTCCGGTCATTCCTCAACCTTCGTCGCTTCGATTCACTCGATTTCAAGTCATTTATCAACCTTCGACGCCTCGATTTATCTCTGGTTTCGAAAAGGAAATCAACTCTTTAGTTGGTGTCGTCTGCGTCGTCGTCGCTGAGTTGGTGTCGTCTCCGTAGCTCTATTCCACCTGCAATATCGAAAAAGAAACCCACGACAGGTAATCAACTCTAGATCTGGAGTAATGAACTCTAGATCTAATCGTCATTCTCATTGTCATAATTCGATGTCTCTAATTACTTTCCATTAACTCTCATTGTAGCAAGAATCGAAGCCCTAGAGAAATCTTTGAGGACCTAACACGAATATAAGAAAGAGAATCAATCTCCTTTACAATCTTCATGTTATGGCTCTTAAATTCGTTTGAAATCTGGTTTTGTTTTTTGTTTTCTGCAATAGAAATCGATACATACATTCAGAAGATAATCTTCAAATAAGGGTTCTTAGCTTCAGCTATTAGTTTGCAGGTTTGATCTTTTTGCTGAGGTGAAGACGACAAAAACTCACAAAACCAAACTTCATAAGCTTAAAGCAGCTTGTCTTGTTTGCAGGTTCATTGTTTCTGACTTTGAAATTTTTGATTGGTTTAATACAAGATTAACTCTCTCTGATCTCTATTTCTCACGTTTTCTCTTAGATTTTATGATCCGATTTTGCATCTAATCTTCGTGAGACCAAAATTGTGAAGTTGTGTTAACTTAGATTTATAAATCTTAGAGTTATGTGGCAACACTTTTGTGGATAGATCTGATCTAATTTGCGAGATTTATGTTCGTTTGCTATATTTCTAATCTTATTGAATTGCTAAAAAATTTTACTCTTTGGTAGATTCTTGTTTGAATGTGATAGTTGTTACTGTTTAAGAAGCCACTCCCATTTCTCTGTTTGATCTGCTTTGATTTATAATGTTGGAATTTGGTTTGAATTGTTGTGAAGGTACTTATCATGGGATGATTATTTCATGGCGATTGCTTTCCTTTCTGCAGAACGATCAAGGATCCTAACAGGCAGGTAATTTTGTTGATGATATAGTTTTCTATCTTTATGTTCTTCCGTGGAAGCTGCTCAAATGTTATGGTTCTGTAGGTTGGTGCGTGTTTGGTGAGCCAAAATGGTGTCATTCTGGGTAAGATAATATGATCACACTTGTCTTTTGATCTGTTTTGAACAATATCAAGTGTGGTTGTATAGTTTATTTCATGTTCTCACTTAGCTGGTACATTTAAACAACGACTCAAAAAATTTCATCTTTCATTTAGGGATTGGCTATAATGGTTTTCCAAGAGGCTGCTCTGATGACAAACTTCCTTGGGCCAAGGTATTACGTTCATCTGATATCCAATAATGTCTACACAAGTTGTCTACGAAAACCCATTAAAAGTATGTTCATTGTAGTCACTACTACAAGGGGTTATTAATAAAGAAATGAATCTCTAGAGATAAGGCAAGCAACTTTCTCCCCTAGATTTATTTTGAATCATTTTCTCTTAATTTGCTCCCACCGATTTTGCAGAAATCAAGAACTGGGGACCCATTAGAGACCAAGTATCCATAAGTACTAATCTTAGTGATGCAAACTACGGCTGAACCTTTTAACTTCTTGTTTTGATGAGTATTGTGCACACTTTCTTTGGGGATCTTTAATACGGTGACATGTTACGGTTCTCATCCGTTTAGGCTCATTGCTAAGCTCTCATGTTTATGACTCTTCATTTTATAGATATGTTTGTCACGCTGAATTCAATGCCATACTAAACACAAACCACACATCTGCAGCCGGCCAGGTTTTGTTTCTTTGGAGTTTCTTGCTTAAGCGAAAAGTTTAAAACATTTTAGAATATGATTGTTAGAATTTGCTATATGTGGTTTCTGCGCAAAAGCCAATAAGTTGAATATGCTATCTACTGTAGAAAAGCTAAGGAACTCTGCAGTTATATGAGTTTGTTTTGTCCTCCTCTAATCTCTTGCAAAAGCTTTATGTGACAATGGTGGAGAATAATCCAATTGAGGGAGAAGGAGTTGAAGAACAACAAGTCACGGGAGATCTCCAAGTCCAGAGCTTAAGTCCCGTTTTAGAAGATTTTAACAAGAATGAGGAAGAAGATTCTGAGAAGAATGAGGAAGAAGAGAGTGGCGAAGAAGAGAACGAAGAAGAAGAGAACGCAGAAGAAGAGAAAGAAGAAGGGAATGAGGAAGGGAATGAGGAAGGAGAGGAGTCCTCCTCCGATGAGGGTAGTAGATCCTTGGGCGAAAAGTCCTCCTCCGATGAGAGTAAGGAGGATGATATTGCAGTGGAAAATGCGCCAGAAAATTAGGCGGAAAATGCTATGGTAAGTATTTGAATGGTGTGAAACTGGTAGAACAGGGTAATACTATGTGTATATTTGGGTACTACTGGTAGAACAAGGTAAAACTATTGTTTATTGGTATAACTGGTAGAACTGGGAATACTATGTGTTTGAATTTTGGGTATAACTGGTAATACTAGGGCATTACTATATGTTTGATTTCTGGGTAATACTGGTATTATTTGGGTATAACTATGTGTTTGAATTCCTGGTGAAACAACTAGTATTACTGGGGTACAAGTATGTGTATATTTTTAGGGTAATACTGGTAATACTATTCGCAGAATAATGATATATGAATGAATATCTGTTCTGTTGCAGGAGATCGACGAGGAAACAGAAGCAATACCACCGCTGAGTATGTATTTCTCGCCTTCGGAATATGTGAAGAAAATAAAGCTATCAACTCGGTGCTATATTCACGAAGTGTTGACTACATTCGATACGTTGGAGCCTCCGATGAGCAAGTCTGAGAGGGCATTTTTTGAGAATCATCAGAGTTTCTAACACGTCTTCCACATGCCAAGAGATCCAAACCACCGAGTTATGGGAATGTGGATGCTCCTTCTTCACACGGCGCGCATTGAAAGGAAGAAAGAAGTGTGGTTCATCGTCAATGGCGTTCCAATCCGATATGGTATATCGGAACATGCATTGATATCGGGCTTCAATTGCAAGAACTATGCACTTGGGTATAAAAATGTGGGAAGTACGGTGTTCTAGACGAAGCATTTCAAGAATGCTGTTGTGAAACGCGAAGACGTGAGAGAGAAGCTCTTAAAAATGGTACCGAAGGGTGAAAGATCTAAAGATAGGTTGAGGATGATGGTCCTCTATTTCCTAACCAGCATTATTGTAACGCCTATCAAGACCGGGGAAAAGGCACCTAAAGTGGATGAATTGTGTCTTAAGGCTGTAAATGATCTTGCGTTTTGAAAGAATTTTTAATGGGGGAGGTATTCTTTCGATTACATGTTACAAACCATCTCACACACGATGGATCATTTTAATGGTGTTGTCACCAACAACGAGAAGTACATATGGCTGATCCGGGTTTCTGTCTTCCGATAGAGGTTAGTTACAAGTTATAGTAATTGGTGATTGTCTAGAATGCTGGTAATACTGGGAATACTATTTATTAGGAATACTGTTTATTATAGGAATACTGGTAGTACTGGTAATACTGCATATTAGAAAACTAGTAATACTAGTAATACTGTTGAATCTAAATATATGTTTTTTTTTATTCTGTAACTTCTTGCATTCGAGACAATCCCACTGTTGAGGGAAAAATTCATTGAGGACATTGCAGGAGCATATGAAGGATGTCCTAGGATGTGCAAGGTGAAGTTCAAGAAAAACCATTTGGAAGGCATTGCTCTTGATACTATTAATCATGAATTAGGTACAACTCAGGTTAGTTGTCCTATATATTCTGTTTTATGAAATGTTTGCTATACTATTTAATTATAATAATCCATATTTGTTTATGTTTACAGGTCATTGATTGTATCGTCTCACCTAGAATTGAAGAGCACGCACTTATGAGAGCAATCACGGAAGAAGAAGACGACGTTGACATGGCTGATCCGGTGGTGGAAAGTTGGTTGAAGCGTCATAAAGAGGGCCGTCTAATCAGGTTTGAATAGCTGTACCAACAGGATCTACATGCCCGAGGAATCATCGCAGGACCAGAGATTGCAGGTGGTGAGGATATTCCCGCAGTAGATGGACAAGAACTCCCGAGTTTTGATGCTGTGGTGGAGATGATTCAAGACATGAAAGTTGGGATGACAGATCAGCTGAATGAAATCCTAGTAATGATTTCACGGTTGGATGATACAGTTAACTCGTTGGATGAAAGAGTTAAATCGTTGGAAGCATTCAGGGAGGCGCAGAAAGTAGATAAGAGAAAGGTATGATTTGTAATACTGGTATAACTTTGTTCAATTGCAGGATCAAGAAGAGAAGAATCTAGAGAAGGATGGTGACCCAAAAGAGACAACCCAAGAGAAGGATGGTGACCCAAAAGATACAACCCAAGAGAAGGATGGTGACCCACAAGTCACCAAGATGACGACTCGGAGCAAGAGACAGCTTGGTTGACTGATTTGTCTCTTTGATGTTTGGATTTGAACTTGGATTTGTTATATTAATTGTTTTGGATTTGTTATGTTAGGATTTGAATTTGGATTTGTCTTTTTAGGATTTGAATTTGGATTTGTTAAGTTAGTTTTATAAATTTAATTAAGGAATACGGGTAAAACTGGTATTACTAATTAAGGAATACGGGTAAAACTAGTAATACTGATAATGGTAATACTGGTAATACTAGTAAAACTGGTATTACTAATTAAGGAATACGGGTAAAACTAGTAATACTGATAATGGTAATAAGCTTACAAAGCATAGGAAAGTCTCACAAATCATAGAAAAGTCTTACAAAGCATAGACAAGTCTTACAAAGCAAAAAAAAGCTTACATATTAGTGAGCGACTAACTCCGAACGCATTTCTCCGCTAGATGAGCGACTAACTCCTTCAGTTTTTGGATCTCCTTACCATTACCTTTCAACTCCGAACGCATTTCTTCTTGATAGTATTCCAAGCTTTGAATCTTTTTGTGATGGGTATCAACTTCCTCCCTTAAGTTAGTCACCTCTTCTTCCATAGCTTTATCCCAAAGTTTCTGAATATGTAAACCATCATTCTACAATACAAGAATTCTATATCGAGATCAATTATTTAACATACATCTGGGTAATACTAGTGTAACTAGTAATACTACATACATCTGGGTAGTATTAGTGTAACTAGTAATACTACATGTTTACGGGTACTACTAGTCTAACCAGTCATATTACATACATCTGGGTTCTTAGAGATCTACCAGTTCTACCAATTTTACTTTTGCGTCAATAATGATACTATCTATTTACCTTATACACGTTGCATTGATAGTATCTCTTCCCTTTGTCACCATCGTTCTCAGAGATCTTGTCGAGGATGCGTCCACCACAAGGACATCTATTCGGAATTCCTTCCATCATTCCGACTTCTTCTAATTGATCATAAATCTTCTTAGCATTCTTCATCTCATCATACCACGGCTCTCTCTCACACAATCGATTCATAATTGAAAAAGAGAAAAAGATTGAAGAGAAGGAAAAAGTTGGATAACGTTTTCTTGAGCTTGGAGAGAGAGAGAGAGTGAATTTTGAGATAGAGAGAGAGAGGAGAAGTCTCAATCATGAATTAGAAGTGGAGAAAAAAAGAATTTTAGTTATTTGTTTTTGTTGATTTTGGGTTTAATTGATTTTGGGAAAATTGATTTTGGGGGGAAAAATTGGAGTGAAAAAAAGAATTTTAGTTATTTGTTTTTGTTATACTAGTATTACTCGCGCGAATTGAAAACCGAAGACAGAAGCTTCAGGATCGATCGATCCCAGGGGGGATCGATCGATCCGGCTTTCGACGTACCTAATTTCTTCATTAGTAATACCTGTTATACTAGTATTACCTTTCTACCAGTGAATTAAATCATAGTATTACAGGAGATAAATCTAGTGTTACATAGTTGTACAACGCAAATATGGTTTACAAATCATAAAGTTCAGATAAAATCAAATACTATGGTTGCCAAATAACAACCATTGCAGCGATTGCCTCGGCCTCCTTTTGTTTTGAGTCCTTTGACGTTTTGGACGTCTTTCCTCGGTGGATGGAAGCCTCAACACTTTTGTTCTACCCTTCTTCTTTTTCCGAGGCAGAGGTAATACCTTCAACGCTTTGATCTCATCTGGGATATCCCACTGTGACTTATCCGGGACTAAATAAATAGTCCTATAATACGCCAATGCCCACATCTCCGCCCAATAATACTTTGAAACCAATTCATGTATTTCCATACTTTGAGTTCTTGTTGTATCGCTCTCGAAGGCAATGAAACCAGCTAGTGCATGCACACAAGGATACTTTAGGATATCGAACACCTTGCAACTCCAAGTTTTCAAGAGTAAGTTGACAAAATATTCTTTCCCTTCACTACCCCTGACATTGTATTCAAGCTGAAATGTGTTTAGCTCCGTTACTTTTAGTTTCTCAGCTTCAACCCATAAATCATGCAAGTAGTTCTCCACTAAAGGCACAAACTTATTCTCATTAGATCCTGACGCGGCTTCTTTCTGATGTTCATTAAACCAAACAGAAATGGAGAGCGTTATTTTCCCCCCGATGTATTCATCATCAAGCTATACATGCGACCTTTGCATTTAAAATATATGATCACGTTCTCCATCATTGTATCCTGCAAAAACAATACAAAAACTCTGTCAATTATACTAGTTGTACTAGTTGTACTACAATTCTGGGTAATATTAGTATAACTAGTCATACTACATGTAAATGGGTAATACTAATGTAACTGATGATACTACATGTAATACTAATGGGTAATACTAATGTAACTGGTGATACTACATGTAAATGGGTAAAACTACTGTAACTAGTCATACTACATACATCTGGGTAATACTAGTGCAACTAGTCATACTACATGTAAATGGGTAATACTAATGTACCTAGTCATACTACATACATCTGGGTAATACTAGTATAACCAGTAATACTATGTATATATTTTTCAATAGATTCAGGTACAATTCTACCCAGTTCTACAAGTTGTACTTTCGCGACAAAAACTCAAATCGAATGGTTTCGGGTTCAAAACTACAATTCACTATGATTCAGTTCATGTAATCCATTTCTTACCCATTTACAGACCTAGTCGACCCAAAAACTATGCATAAACTTCCAATGTGCATATCCAAACACAATTACCTAAATCTAATTGAATTGAATCTCCTATTTAGTATATGTCTACAGCCTAAACTTCTATTTCAAGCTCTATGCATCTAAAGGAACTAACCTGTCTCACCGCAGCTCGCCGTAAGCTCGCCGGAACAGAAGAAACGGCAACAATGCAGCTCACCGGAGATGAAGCTCGAGAGAGACGCTCTCGTTTTTTATTTTTTTCTGGACTCGATTTTTTTTTCTTGTTTTTTAAAATTCAATAAACAATTAGAAGAAAAAGAAGGAGGGGTATTTTCGTCTACGCACGTTTCATTAAACAAGAAAGGGATATGTAGACTCATTTGGGATATAAGAGGTTTTGTTTTGCCAAAAGGGGAGTTAGTAGACATTTTCTCCGGCAAATCCAGCGTTCTCGAAGCACTCGTCGGCCGTGATTTTCTCCCTCATGGGATTGAAAGCAAAAAACCCAGATTTGAATGGGTATATTCATGGGGAAGATCAAAGAATTAAGAACGGAGAAAAAGATTGGGTACAAAGTTTCAGAGATTGTAAAGAGGTTTTTGTGATTTGGTCGTTACTTTTCTCTTTTGCTTCTCATTTTCGTTTGATTTCGAATTGAATTAGATGTTGGGTTTGTTTTTTTATTTGTCTTCCTCTTGATCAAATCTGGTTTGAATTGAATTAGAGGAGCTTCGATTTTGACAGAACAAATGAAGTTGCGACGGTGGTGACTATAGATGCGTAAGATGGCGGAGAAGAAGAAGAAGCTGAGAGGCGGGTAAGTAGATCTTCTTGATGGTCTTTTATATTCTCTGAAAATAGGATTCATAGGGACTAGAACAGTGGATTGTGTAAGTAGAACTCGTAGATCTTAACCTTAAACATATTTTGGTCATTCTCGTTTGAGGACTCAACTTCTTCAACTATGAGATTTTTTGGATTTAAAAGCAATTATATTTAATCAAACCAACAAATATTTGCTAAGGTATATATCTTAACTAAGATGTTTTTCTTAAGTTTAGAAGTGCACACGTGTCGCGATTTGAGTGGGAGAAATAAAAAACAAAACCAATTTTATTTTTTGTTATTTCTTGTTTTTTTCCCGACATTTTTCATCTCTCTCTCGAGACCCTTGCAGACAACAATGAGAAGATGCGAAATCTCTTCGATTCCGGTGGAGATATTGGTGAAACTTCAGACTCGTAAGTACCCAGATCTCTGATTTTGGTTTTCTGATCTGGATGTTTCGGATCTTGCTAAAGTTTGGGTTTTTTCGATTTTGGGGATTAGAGTTTTGGTTATCTTCTATTCTTAAGTTGAGTCTTAATCTTGTTTGTTTTTGTTATAGGAAATCGAAGAATCCGGTTCGATTAAGGACGCCCATGCGATTATATGGAACGACGTCAGAAAGGGTGTAGGAAGAGCTTATAAATGAAAGCAGCAAGTAGGTATGGATTTAAAACCCGTGGTTTTGTGGATTTTTGTCTTCTGCTTGTAATCTAGATCTACATTCAACTGAATTTATGATTGTGGAAGTGAATGCTTACTTTTGGTTGTGATTATTTGTGCATAGACATTCATTGGCTAAGAATTTGGGTTGAGTTATGAAAATTACAGTGAAGAAAACAGATCTGTTGAGAACATACTTATTTTGTCTGGAAATCATCTTTATAGAATGAACTACATGGGCTTTGTTCAAATATTTATCTAAACCTAAACAGATCTGTTCACCATCATCTTAAACCTCTTTGTTGCACTAACTCGATGTGTTGTAATAGTCTCATGTAGATAGTAATGCGGATATTACTCTTTTGTGTGCACCAGTCAGTGAAAGGTTAGTGTCTAGAAACCAACGGGAGTCGATCTGAATTCAATGGTATAGTTTTCTATGATTCTTAAAACTAATCAACTTCATAAAGTCATAAAGCATTTCAAATACTTGAAATTTTTCTCTTTGTTTTTTACAGCAAACGGACACAATAATGCTTGGACTGTCTCATCAAGAAGCAACAGATTCTCCATACATTGCATCAATGGGAGTTAATTGTTTCACAACCGAAGCTTTGTTGAGCCTTCTAACAAGACAGTATCCTAGTTCCAATGACTTTGGATCTGAAGTTATTCCTGCAGCCATAGGAAGCTGATTATCTCTCTTTTGTTGTCTTATAGCAATTGGACAGAAGCTTTGTATGAGTTTGGTTTTATGGTTGCTTGTTTAAGAAGATAGTGTTTTACAACAATTTGAATTTTTTTTCTTAAGATACTCTCTATTCTATATGTTAAGATACTATCTTCTTTTCTTAATTCACACAAAAACAAAAATTTATTTTAAAAAATTGCTAAGATACAAGGTTAAGAATCAAATGGTTCTTAACCATTGGAGGTGCTCTTTTGGAGCATCTGATTTTTGCAGCCCAATTTATGTTTTTTTGTAGAATAATTTCAAGTTAGATTTGTTCTTAATTGCTATTTGATTAGCATGATTTGTCTGTTAGTTCAATTTTGTGATATTTATTTACTTTGTTAACTCATAAGTAATTTCGAACTAGATTTTGTGCTTTGTATTTGAATAATTCAATGTGGAAAATATTCATAGTATGAGTCATACTTCGTTGTATTTTTGCTCTCTTCTTATGTTTGTATGCTCACCTTCGTAAATCTAATTCCATTGATCAAGAAAGTAGAGAGAAACAAATTATGAAATTGAATTTATTTTCTAGTGTTCCATTTATTCCCGTCTCTCGTTTTCTTATTGCTTACCTTCGTTGACAATCTTCCTTCTTATCATCAACGTTTATTTTTCGAAAATTATAATTCAAGAATCTGTTTCATCTTTGTTCTGTTGTTAACAACAAGAATGTTAACGTTGACTGTGGGAATGAAAGACGAAACAAAAGGAAGCTCATGTAAAGGCGAGACAACATGGGTCCTTCTCGTAAGAATGTGTTTCACATTGTCTCTTTGCTCTGGTAAGTATAGATCAGTTGAATCCCTTTCGGACAGATGGAAAACAAGTTAGTGCTGAAAATACACTTCATCTTTCTTTAGTTTTGGTGTGTTTGTTTGATAAAATCTGAAATCTGTGTGTTTTGTGTTTGTGTCTTAGGACCGTATGGTTTGACATGTGATTTTGCCGTAATCTCTCTAACTTTAAGAGAACCTAGAATTATTTTGCCGTAAGCAGAATTCTAGCAGCATCCTCTCTCCTCAAGCACAAGGCTTTTACTATAGAGGTTAGTATGAGAAATTGCAGGTTTGGTTTAAGACTGATCTATCTAACTTTAAGAGAACCTAGACTTACCACTATGATGTTATATAGAAGTCATGATTTCTAGGCATGGCCCATAGATTTGGTTGAAAGCTTGTATTACTCAAGTAGTTCTTGTTTCTTGTTCTTTTCTTTATCCAGATTGGATACGGTAGAAGATAGCTGACCAAAAATATCAAGCCAGCCTTATATACTCGCCTTCAGGAGGAAATGGTGTGTCCTTTCGATACTCATGAACGAAAGACCAGATTCTGGGCAATTAGTAGCCAACCCTCTGGACGTAACTGGTAAAGGAAGACCACAAGTTTTCTACCACACTCAGAATTGGTAGTGTTATTCGTAGTGTTATTAGTATAAGAATTGGTATAATATTATGTAAGACTTCTTTTGGGCAATGTAATATTAATACTATGTATATTGATGATTTATGAAATATAACATTTTAACTAAATTTATTTAGTAAAACAGAGTCCAAATATAATAATTGTATGTAAAACCAATTAAAAATATAAAAATGCTACAATACAATATAAAATAGCACTAAATGTGTGCTATAATGTAATATATTAGAGCATTTTGTTATCGCTATACTTGAACGATATATAATAGCATGTCAGAAAAATGATATCGTAGGTGGGAGACCTACCATAGCTGGCGATGTAATAGCATTTGTGAATTCGCTATGAAATATATATGATTGCAGATTTTTTGCGCTAACGATGAACATATTTCTTGTAGTGATCTGTTCCAGAGTTGTCACCTGGACACTCTGATGTCCTACCCATATGTTGCCTACAAGGAGGAAACCATCAGCTCCTCTCCACACTGCAAGTAGAGCTATACCAGGGGTTGACAGAAGACGAGTTGGAGATTGAAGGATTGAGATTCCTGACATTCTCTGTGTATAGCCAGAGGTACATGTTGACGATCAAGCGCTTAGAAGGATTGTTTGGTTTCCCCAGTGGAACGGGAATCAAACCAAAGTTTGACAAAAGTGAGCTGAAGGATTGTTTGGTTTCCCAGTGGAACGGGAATCGAACCAAAGTTTGATAAAAGTGAGCTGAAGGATTTGTTTGTGGCTTACCATCGGAAACACTGTACCGCTGAAGTCTACGCAATCCAAGAGCAACCAAATCCGCAGCCCTGTTATTCGCTATTTCCAGCGCTCTATGGCCAATGTTCTATACTCGAGAAAGACTATAGGCATAATGACGAACACCGACGTGGAGATGATCGATTCAGCTCTCAAAGGCATTCTCCATCAAACAAAGAATGGGTTAATCCTGCAAGGCGACCTCAGTGACACGCCTCCAGTGATGCTTCTTTTGATCCACCTGTGTGGATATAAGAAGTGGGAAGTAACTAACAACAACAAGAGGGTGCGAGGATCCCTATGTATTGGTGGTGTTGTGACACCAATACTGATAGCCTGCGGAGTTCCAATCACATCCAAATGAACAGACCCAAGAGCAATGGATTTCGAACATTTGCGTCGCTGTGAGTTCCTCGTACGGCATGGTTGGGGATTTCCACCATTATAGGTTCGAGCATCCAACAAACAAGACAGCTAACATCCTTCTCCCCTACACTGAAGCTACATGTATCATTAAAGGATAACACATTGACTTCGAGCCTGCGATTGATGATCTATATATCGAGATCGCTCAGTCAATGGAAGAGGATGTTCCTGCAGAAGAAGTTGTAGAAGATGAGGTGGATGATATGGATGAGGACAGAGATGAGAAGTATGATACGAGCATGTATCACTTTGGCGAGCATGTAGCGCCATCAAGAGAGAGTAAGAGCTTGAGTGAAGCTCTCAGAAACCAAAGCCTGCTGCAGAAGTGGAACAAGAAGCAGGATAAGATCATCTCCAAGTTTTTGAAAATATCAAGTCTGTGAAGGCTATGATAAGTTGCTCCTCCTCCAGCATAGCTATGCCACGAGGACCAACTCCTGAGGAAATGCCCTCCAAGAGATATGATGAGCCTGAATCAAGGCAATACAGGCCTGAGCCAAGTGAGCAAGGTGTCTCACACGTCCCTGCCATGCACTCCTCACATGAGCCTCAGGAGCACAAGAGAAGAAAGAAGGCTGCATTCGCTCGCTCTAGCAGCACGGCACGGCTCCTCCATGCTAGGAGATCACTCGACCGCGGTCCTAGCCGCCACAGAGGAGAAGAGGTCGAGTATCACATAGGAGCTGAGACACAACATGGAGATTCTTTAATGGGCTGGCAGGAATCACATGTAGGCATTAATGATCACATCCGCTATTTCTTCGATTGAGGTAAGCACCTCACTTCACCACTATACAATACCATCTTCTGTTTTGTTTCTCTGATGTTTTTGTCCTGAGTACTCTTTTCCAAATTTGGTCACACAGAGGACTGTGTAATTTAAGTTTGGGGGAGGGCTCAGGAATTGTTTATTATCTGATGAGTCTCTTTTGTTCTTATTTTCAAATTTTTGGATTGTACATACTCTTGAGTCTTCATTCATCTAAGGCACAGAAAAACCATAAAATTTGAAAAATTTCCCACAAAAACAGAGTGTTCATGTAGTTGCATTACATTTAGGATCGAGTCAAGAGTGTTTCATTTAGGATTGTTGCATATGCATAGAGGATAATGAGGATATAGCCTTGTAAGCATGTTGATTTACTAGATAGACTCAATGCCCTCGTTATTAGTTGTCTGATGCATATGAATTGACTTTGAAGTAAGACCGCACCATGTTTTATTAAAACCACTCGATCGCATGTCATGATACCAATCCCTATCAACTTGAACTTGAATCTGATTTGTAATTATCATGTTTGCATCGGTTTTGAACTCATGGATAGAATACATACTTGGATTTTTTTGCACCTATTCACCACTCTTGTTAACCCAAGTAGCTGCTTCCTTTACTGGAGTAGCTACCCCACCATAAACCAACCTTTCTTTCAAGCCTTGTTATTTCTTTTATGCATTTGAGGTCTATTTCAGGATTGAGCTTGGTAGAACGTGTTAGGTTTGAGCCGACAAGAGTAGTATCTCATGTAGTTTCAGGCCACGTTTTTAGACTTGGTAGGACTAGGTGGGAACTTATATGGGGATTGAGATTGAGTGTGAAAAGAAAAGAAAGGAAACGGGTTAGATTCTTTAGGAGAAGGAAGCTGAAAATCATATTGGTCTAGTGAATGGTCTGGGAAAAATTGAATTTGTTAAGTTATGCTCTTAAAAAAGATGGCAACAAAGACATAGAAGATTATAAGAGCCATAAGAGTTTAAGAAAAACCCAATTCACTAGACTGGACTCATAGAGTATAAGAAAAGCTTCTCCTTAAGAACAGAGCCAAAGAAAAGAAAGGATAAGTTGATTCAAGAAAGAATCGAGATATGCCTTTAGTACAAAATAGTAGACTTAGGATTAACAATCGGTTTAGAGATAGGACCATCCAGTTGTTATTCACGGTTTATTTCATTGGGTAGATGGGGTGCTATTCTTGTATGCATAGGTTAGCACTTACCTTTAGCATTCTAATAAAGCTCGGTCCATTTTCATTGAGAGTCCCCTGTTATTGAAAGTCTAACCACCTCAAAGGGACCATCTTTGTCTCATAACCCATCCTTAGCCAAATGAGTTCACTAACGATGCATTGCCTGATTCATGTTTTTGAACTTAATGAATTTTAAAGGGATTGGTTGATCAAGATGCTTATTGCAATCAAGTATAGGTTCAGATCATAACAGAGCATGGCTAAAGTTTTTAAGTAGAAGTTGATCGCATCGCATCTTAGAACTATTAACTTGGACAGTGATCTTATTCACTTTATCTTATGCTTTGGTTCTGAGTCCCCAACTTCAAACTTCTCCTTCAGCTTATGTCTTCCTATTTGCTTGGAGGCAAGCAAAGACTAAGTTTGGGGGAGTTGATATGTCTATAATTTGCATGTTTTATGCATTCATTTATCATCGTTTTGAGTCTAGTTTCAATCATCTTTCATATCATTCATCATTGTTTTGCGCACTTTGCATG